TTCCGATGTCCCACGGCAACGCCTTTCGGAACGAGCACCGGCGAGCCTGCCAGCTAGGAGCTTTTCGATCGTTTGTGTTCGTCGTCACCCCCATGAATGCCATTCAGCACGGCATGTCATTCGCCAACTGAGGCAGATGACTTTCCGGAGTCCGGTGTTCCATTCAAAGGGGTGACTTGCTCGAAAGCCTTCTGACCTAGGTGTTAGAGGATTTCGATCATCCGACCTCCTCGAATTGTTAGGAACACGAGGATACTGGTGGAGACGCTAAGCCATTGCGAGGAGACAGCTGGTTGATGTTGCAATTCAGAGGCTTTTAAAGCTTCATACATCTACATCAATGGCAATATCGTCAGTTAAGCTGATTAAAGAACAAAGGTCTAGTGGAGTACAACCCAGGATTGATTCTCAGTGCATGATGGTTCCACACACAACCTCTCAAGGCAAATGAACAGAGCAACTTGGGTGTTCGCTGCTGACTAAGACAAACTGGCCAGCCGGTGACGTCCATCCTGCGGTCTGGAGTGGTTGTGGGGTTCAAGTACCTAAGAATTAGGCGTGGGCAAGCTTGGAGCTTGGCGGATGGAGCGGGCTCATACTGGCCTGTGGTGGGACGGTGCTCGATATGACCGACCAGGTACGCGGCAGCGCACCACAGCCACCCACTCTGCCACTGTACCTACCATACCTACCTGAGGGTGAGGAGGCCTTCCAACCTGCCGGCGTACATCATCACCACGACGACCACAACTGCCACCGATTCGGTCCTCGTCGCATAGCACTCGTATACCCTCGCCACGAGCTGCACTGTCTCTCTCGGCGCCTGCTGCCAGCGGCCAATCTGACCTCTGCCCCCACCCCCTGACACTATCCGATCTACACAACAACACCCCCGCCGACCTCCGAGATGGCACCCCGAATCGAACCGGCCGAAGTCGAGACATACTGGAACATCTTCTCGACCCGGACAGGCGGCGGAAAGTTCCTGACCGGCGAGCAAGCGGCGCCGGTGCTGAAAAACAGCGGTCTCACAGATACGCAGCTCGAGCGAGTATGGGATCTGGCCGATGTCGACAACGATGGCAACCTCGACTTTGAGGAGTTCTGTGTCGCCATGCGCATCATCTTTGACATTCTGAATGGAGTGCGTCTACACGCCAACTTTTCGCCGACATGATTGTGGCACGGTCACTGACGTTGTTGCTCGTAGGAATACGCAGATGTACCGACTGTCCTGCCAGACTGGCTGGTGCCCGAGTCCAAAGCGCACCTGGTCCAAGCGAGTAAGGCCATTACCGGAAACCAACCGCGCTTCGAGCAGGTGGAGGACGAAGAGGAAGACTCAGGCCTGAAGGACGGGTTCGATTGGTACATGACACCGCAAGACAAGGCCAAGTACGAGTCGATATATCAGGAAAACCGCGACATGCGCGGCGAGATAGCATGTGAGTCGGAACAAAGCCTGGCCCGTCGCTGGCCCTCCAGCTTCGCCCCGTCCCCATCCGTCTCACCCCTGCTGACCGAAGACCTCAGTCAACTCGCTTGAAGACCTCTACGAATCTCTCGACGTCCCCGACACGGACATCCGCTCCGCGTGGAACCTCATCAACCCCTCAGCTGGCTCTTCCATCAACAAGGACGCCAGCCTCGCCTTCCTCCACATCCTCAACAACCGCCACGAAGGGTTCCGCATCCCCCGCACCGTGCCCGCCTCGCTCCGGGCCAGCTTTGAGCGCAACAAGATCGACTACCAGCTCGACAACCAGCGCACCGGCGCCGCCTCCCGGTGGGCCACCAAGGCCGACGACTCGACGGCGACGGGGCGCAAGGCCAAGTTCGGCGACCAGTATCTCACGCGCCTCGGCCGCAGCGGCTTCAAGTCCGGCGGCACCGACTTTAGCACCCCGAAGGAGGGCGACTGGGAGGAGGTCCGCCTCAAGCGCCAGCTGCAGGAGCTCGACGAGAAGATTGCCCGTGTCGAGGCCGACGTCGAGCGCAAGAAGGGCGGCAAGCGCGACAGCAAGCCCGCCCCTCGTCAAGAGGGAGCTCGAGCAGCTGCTCGACTACAAGCGCACGGAGCTGCGGGAGCTCGAGCAGGGCGAGGGCAAGGCCAAGGTCGGCCAGTCCCTCAAGGGCATTGAGGAGGACCTGCAGACGGTGCGCGAGCAGATTGAGGGTCTTGAGTCGCACCTGACGTCGCGAAACCACGTTCTCGAGCAGCTGCGACAGGAGATTGAGAATGAAAAGGTCAATCGATAGAGAAAAGGAGACGAGGGGTGGGGGACAAGGTGCTGCGTTTTCAATTTTAGGCCATGATTTGGATTCAACAGGTCTGGTGGGGGTTGCTTCTTGCTTCAGCATGTAAATATGACAACTTTCACTGGCGAAGTAAATCTGATTTCCTGAATCGATGCCGCTATGAGGGTATATGTTGCTTCCGAACGACGCCAGGCCAAGTTTCTCCTCTCTCTTCCATCGTGCCCTTCCACCTTGCGGTGCGCACAGAATCGTTAGGCGACAGCCAAATACAGACAGCCCCTCGTGTAAGGGTGCTCTCACCACCTCCACGGAACCGCGGCTCGGCAGTCTACCATTGCGAGCCGCTTGCGTACTTGGGCAGCATCTCGATCGCGAGCGTTCGCCCCTTCATGCCCCAAGCCGCCAGCGATGGTAGCTTCACGACGCCCAGGCGGCCCGTGGCCCGGCCGCGCCCCGTCGAACAGAGGAGCACGTCAATCGGCATGCCCTTGACGACCTGCTGCGGCTTGCCCTTAAGCGCAGCTTCAATGTTCTTGCAGACTCCACCAGCCTGCACGACCGCGTTAATAAAGACTCAGTTATCAACTGAACAGGCAGAAAACCGGGTTTAAGCGAGAGGAGAAGAAATGACCGCCAAGGCATACCTGTTTATCCGTAATGGGGAATGAAGCGCGGGGGCTCGACACTAAGTCGCCGCACGCCCAGATGTTCTCGTAACCCCTGGCGCGGAAGAATTCATCGACTGCAACATACTTGTGCTCGTTGAGCAGCTTGGCATCGATGTACTCGGAGTTGGGGATGAGACCGGTGGTCGGGAGGTACAGGTCCGTGATGATCTTCTCCCCATTCGAGAGCGTCACCTCCGTCTTGCCGTCCGGGGTGGCGGTGGAGCCGGTCGCCTTAACGCACTTTCGGATCTTGACGCCCAGTTTGAACAGTTCCTTCTCCGCCGCTGCGGCAATCGAGTCGCCGCCGAGAAGTTGATTGTCGGCGCTGACGAGGATGATCTCTCGGTCCTTGCCGTATTCGTAGCCCAGCTCGCCGGCGGTCTCGACGCCCGTGGGGCCGGAGCCGGCGATCACGATGTGGGATGCCGACTCAACCTTCTTGGCGATGGAGTGCAGGGCCTCGAGGTCCTCCTCGTACGTGCCGATACTCTTCCATGGCACCTCGGAGGAAGCTGTGCGGGCGCCGGTCGTCAGGACGATGAAATCATAGGGGATCGAGCGTTCGCCAGAAGCCGTGGTGACGGAAAGAGACTTGGCATCGGCGTCGAGCTTGGAGGCAGCGCCCAGGACAAATTCGAAGCTTCCACTCGGGTAGTTGGCGAAGCCGGGCTCGATAGGCTGGAAGACCTGTTCGTCCTTGAGGACGCCGGGGACGATGGCGCGGACAGATGCCAAGTTCCAGTACAGGTGGTCGCTCTGAATATGTTAGCTTCACGAAGCCTTTCCTATTCCCCAGTGCTGGATCAAGTCGTGTGTACCTTTGCGACGAGGATGACTTTGAGGTCCTTCTCCGATGGGAGAGTGTGCTTCAAGAGCTTATGAGCGATCTGCAGGCCAGCATACGAGCCGCCAACGACAACGACGCTTTTCGTCATCTTGATGGAGATATGCGATTGGTGCTGCTAGAACTTCTGATGTATGCAGCGCCTTCGGTTCTTTGTCACGATGGTTGTTTCAGGAACCACGATCAGGTGCCTGAATGATTGGAACTAGAAAGATTTGTGGTTCGTCGCACAGACTGACGAAGCAAGCCAATCTAGGGAGTCACTGGCCTTTTTATAAGGCAGTTGAACACGAAAGGCCATGAAGTAGAGCTTTGGAGGTAAGGGTGTAACGAAGCTTCCCGGCCAGGTACGTTGTTTATCAAGGGTCCGTGGTAACGCGTGGGTGTCTCAGAGCTCAGCCACGGCCACGCAGGTCCGTGCCATTGGGCTCGCAACGACATGTCATCATCGATCCTATGCGTTGGACAGAGAGTTGTGCCGGTCTTCCCCAACGTTGCCCCGAGGCGTTTGAAAGGAGCTCCCCCGAGCGAGGGATTGCGTTGTCGGACCCGAGTCATGGAGGATTTCCGGGTGCATGCCGGTTGGCGAGAGAGAGAGAGAGGTAAGGCTGCGATGAATTTTGACCAAGCCTTACGACTTGACGGCGATCCCTCCTCACCTGGCTCGTGTAATTCGTTATCAATATTGAACCTTGGGTGATTGATTATTCTATTTGTGAGACCGGGACGCGAGGCGATCATACAGCCCAGGCTGCAGCCGACTTTTGATTCGTTTTGAGCGATGCAACGGTACATCGTGCATGTTAGCTTGAGGCTTCCTCTTTTCCGTCGCCTTGAGCATGCTCACGACCATGTTGATGGCAATGTCAGGTTGTTCGAATAGAGAGCCTTCTCAATTACCGAGTACATGCAGCTGATTGCTTTAGGTAGTGCCTGACTTGTGGGCAGTAAAGGTGGGTAGGCCAAGACGACCCGCGAATGCACCTTGACTTGGGGCATTCAGCGAGTGTCATCCCACTAGCCACACTCTTCCCTTATCCCCTCATGATTCCCATCGCCAGACCCCCGCACCCACGGACCGTGACGCCGAAAGGCGGCGGTGCGCGACCCACGAAATAAATCGGGTCCAAATGACAGTGCAATGCTCCATTAGCGGTCAACAGCGGCAGGTGCACCCCTAGTCGGACACACCTGCCCCGCGCGCATGCGCACATGAGCGAGCACATGCGCTGTTACCGAGCTCCAGTGCTCCTTGTCATCCGCCCGCCGCCCGTTTGACCCCGCCAACACCACCACCCGGCCCTGCCTCCAACTTTGTCCTCAACAAACCCATAAAAGTCCTCATTACCCACGACACCGCATCTCTTCATCTGCAAGTCAAACATTTCTATCTATACCCCAATCACTTAACCACAAACTAGTCACCATGTCTGTTCCCCAGAGCGAGGCCTTCAAGACTGCTGTCGTCGACAGCCAGAAGCTCACTTCCAAGCCGAGCAACGACGATCTCCTCCAGCTTTACGGTGAGTGCCATCGCAAACCCCCCCCCCTATCTGTCCTTTGGCCCGAGATCGCGATCGCCTTCTGCCCTCCCAAGAAACAGGAAGAGGTCATGATATCGTGGCACGACTTGCTTCATCGTGCAGGCATCGCTGACCCTCTTCAACAGCCCTCTTCAAGATTGGCAACGGCGAGGACATCAGGCAGTCCCCCTCGCCCGGCATGTTCGACCTCAAGGTATGCTACCACCCCGTATCTCTTCTCCCATCGCGCGAGCGAATACACAGGACGCTAACCTCTCTGGACTGCAGGCCAAGGCCAAGAGGAGTGCGTGGCAGAAGGAGACCGACGCCGGCACCACCGCCGAGCAGGCTCAAGCCAAGTACGTCGAGCTCGTCAACAGCCTCAAGGAGTCCCACGGCTACGATGCCGACAAGGTTCCCGAGTCCGTCGGCGCCTAAGTGCTTCCTATCTCTCGACGAGTGACGATTACGAAACGCCCCTTGACGATCACAAAAGATGTATACACTCTGCCACGGCTGGCTGAATCGATAGAGTTTTGGCTAGATAGCAAGAGAATCCGTCTTTCTGCCGCTGCGACGCATGCGCAAGCAATGCCCATAACCTCCAGATTCGCGCTGCCCGCTCGCTCCCATTTATTTTGTTTGTGATGCACTGCTTATCCTTCGTGCACTTACTCTCTGAGGCACACGCGTCCCGCCCAGTCTGGTTTCGGTATGCTCATTCGAAGCACCCAAGGTATCTCGTCCTTTCCATACAGCTGGAGCGGCAAACTGTATGGCATGCGTAGGCCTACTACATTTCCAGTACTAGATGGCGCACTAGAAGGCGCTTCTTCACCCGGCGCATCTGTCTTGAATGTCCCCACCATGGTGGCCTCGTCCGTCCCTGTAACTAGTGATGGCCAGACTAAGACACCAGCCTCCCAGGAGGCAATTCGGACCTCCTGCGCTGCGCTGGCCGCCTCGCCCCATGCCTGTTTAGACAGATTCGCTGACGTCAAGAGAGCCCAGTCAATTGACTGCGTCCCGTAGCGAATATATGTCTTGATATGTGGTGCTGCTCGCTGACGCCCGGCATCCCGCAGGAGCGTGTCTTTGCTGAGTTCTGTCTATCATTAGCTGTGTGATTTGAGCATCCCCAATCAGTAACCCCAACCTTTCCCGCCCGGCGCATCGTTCGCCCAGTGGCAAAAGATTGATTTCAAATATGCGAGCTGCTTAGCCTGCTGTGGAGATGCAATCTTCGTGTGTATCGATCCACCAGACGCATAGCCGTCGAGGCTCCTCCTGATTTCGTCAGCGGTTGGGAAGACCACCTTGAAGGCTGGTCTCGGACCGATGGACGACCCTTTTGACAGCGAAAGCGAGTCGAACAAACACTTTTGCAGCCAGGAATCCGTCCCACCGAGGGTAGCTATGGACGAGATCTGCACAACTATCTCTGACTTTCCCGTTTGAACCGGCACGCGGCGAAGGGCCCGCTTGAGCGCCGGCCACCCCCATGCCGTCTGCGATGTGTCGTGTATAGCATGCCTTCCTGGAACGCTAGCGATAAGCACAGCACGTACGCCCGCGAAATCATACCTGGCCAGTTGCTCCGTTAGCAGTCTCAGCGTGATCTTCCTGGCATCGTAGGCGCGCAGGTATCTCAGCAAATCGGACTTAAACTTGCGCCCCGATCCAAAGTCCTCGTTTGCTTCATATACCTCTCCATCTTCCAACTTTCCGCCATTGGGCTGGGGCCCCAGCGGCAGAAGCGGTGACCGCCAGACGCCATTGGTCATGTTGGTCCAGTCCTTGGCGATCATATTGGCAGTGTGGATGATGACCTGGGCGGTATCGTCGTGGCGAAAGAGAATCATCATTTTGGTGTGGTGCGTGCCGAACATCTCGGGCATGGGAGCGGTGTGGAGCTCAACGTTCTTCCAGGCTGCAGCCTCTTCCTGACGAGGCAGTCAGCAAGCGTGACGAGAAGTTTCCTGTTGAAGGTGCGCAGCAGGTCGTCTTATCTTACTTGCAGAGCCACGCGGTTCCCATCCTCTCGTTTCCAGAATCCATGGACGACGTGCACTTTGACAAGGTCCCTTGTGTCTTCGTCAAAGTGGCTCATGAGGAAGGGAATGTCGTGAAGAAAGTTGAACTCCCAGCATTCTGAGATGAGCGGGTCACCGAGCAGGTCCTTCAAGGTGACGGCATCTGCATTCGATGAAGTGGGTAGATCGCGAATGTGCGTCAGCTGAAATGGAGACGGGGTCGTGGCCGCCTTGAATTTCCTCCTGGCTGGGGGGCTGATGGCACGATGAAGGCTGGATGGCTGGGTTGGCGGGTCATCCGTCACGTCCTGAGTGACGCGCAGTCGCTTGGAGGGTCGTTCCATGGTCACCAAGACTCATCAAACGAAACTGTCGCCGAAGTTCAAGATCTTTCAGTCTATCACCGTGGTAAGACACGCAGTGAGAGCCAATGCCGAGAGTCTGTCTGACGTCCTCACCTGCTTTGGAGCCGACGATGACAACGATGACAGTGCCCCCACCAACCAGGACCAGGGTCACTTATGCCTGCGTGGAAGAATGTGGCTTTTTCTGTGATTCATGGATCATGAAATTGACGTTGTACGGGTTTCATGGAAGTTGAAGTCAATTTCGAACGACGACGAACTAGAGCAGCTCCATGTTGGCAAGAACGGATGGCATATCGAGAGAAGAAGCAATAGCGGATTGGTGGTACCTGACTTGCTGAGAGGTGGGGTTAGTGGTCAAAGCTCGGACTGCTTTGAACCTTGGCGAGGTCAGGGGATATCTCCAGTGTCAAGATAATCACCTCTCCGCTATTTGACCTGACTTCATCAGAAGTATTACTTACAATAAGTCGACAAGATCAAGTTTAAGTTCGTTGGCTACCTGAAACTCCTCCTCCTCATTCCACCTCGACTTGGCTCGTTATCCTGTAAGGAGACTTTTAGCCTTGAACTCACGACACTGGCCATGAAAGTGCACTCATTCTACCAATATGGCATAGAGGCTAATCAATATTGCAACGTCCCAAGATGGGCCTCCAGGCTTAACTGACTCGCGTCGGACGTATAGGAAGCAGAAGAGTAGAGCATGGTATCAGTGTCGGACGAGCACTCGTGCTGTCGTATTCTGTGCCTCACCAACGCTGGCTTCGCTGCGGCCTTGTAGTCGGATGCTCAACCCCTGGAGGCGCGCGTTGTCAGCTGCAAAACAAGGCGCCAAGCGCTGCACACTGTGAGGGGATTCAACATCACGCATCGAGACGTAGTTTAGTTCTTCGCGCCTGTCGATATAGATGCAGATTTGCGGATCCATTTGTAAACCGCCAAGTCTAAAGTATCTGTATGCAGACGATGCTGCTCCTTGGCAATACACGTACCGTCGACTTGTGCGGCCGAGCCGCTCCAACCCCTCTTCTTCAGTGACTCTGGACGCAAAGAAACTGCGCGTTTCTCTGGGCGATTCGTAGTTCGCCTATCAGACACTGAGGTTTAGTTGCCACCTTGTTGTCGTGTGAAGGGGTATAGAGCCCTGTCACGCTGCTGTCTAATCAGTCTAGCCGAGGTTGGTAATCATAACAGGCGAGAGCAAACTGCTCAACTCCGGCAAAAAGCACGTGTATTCAAAACTAGTATGTGTTGACGTGATATGATGGGTGGAAGATGAGATTGCTTCCAGTTTGTTCACACCGATTGAACCAGATACCTGAGGGAATGGAACTATAGTGGGCAAAAGAATTGTTTGGATGAATTTCTTTCAAAGATCACATCACTTCAAATGTAACACCAAACACACAGTATAGAATGTCGTTAAATTCATCTGATAAAGTTATCCGCGAAACTAGAGAATAGACAGGCCTCGTCAGGCCTTGCATTGCCGGCAATTTTGAACAAGAAACGAGCACAGGAAGGACACGCTACTCCTCGACTCTCCCTTATTTCGAAGCCCAACCGAGAGTCAGGTCACCACCGTTGAAGACAACGAAAGCGGCCTTGAGAGCCACATCGCCGAAGATGGAGAAGCCAATGTTCGTGTTGCGCTGAATGCCGCCGAAGCAAACAGAGCCTGAGTCGTCAACGGGGGCAAAGTTGATGTAGCTTCCGGGGATCTTGATGCGCGCAGACTCGACGCCAAAGGTGAAGGCAGGGAGGGTAGCGCTGCAGCTGAAGACGTAGCCACCCTGCGAGCTGTCGTACCTGGCGCCGCTGACCTGTGCGTAGTAGGCCGAGACGACGGAGGTGGGGAGCAGGAGCAGCGTGGTACCGGTGTCAGCAATGCCGGTGACGGGAGAGGACTTGAAGGCTGCAGTTCCGACCTGGTAACCGGTAGAGGTGAAGGACCAGAAGCCGTCGCTGTTGTCGACATTGGTGTAGGTAATGGCACCCTTGTAGGCGGTCTTGTCAATATAACCAAAGTTGTACTTGCCGGCTGGATCTAGTTGTTAGCAGTGTAAAATGTCACATATACAGAGGAAGGACGTACCCGCAGCGTGCTTCAGATCAGCAGTGAACAAGGGAGCATCCAGAGTGGATTTTGCATTGTCGAAGAAGGTCAACTGCCGCGAGGGAGAAACAGTGTTGATAGAGCTGAAGGCGAGGCCCAGAAGACCATCGAGCGGATCCGAGGTGAAAGAGCTGGAAACCTTCTGGGCAGCCTCAACAGCCTGCTTCTTCACGGTAAGGCCACCAATGGTCACCTTGTCCAGGTACACATCGCCATTGGAGCTGCTACCATCGCCATAGCTAATGGACCATTTGGCACCGGCAACCTTCGATGAGGTCGAGCTAGAGGCGGGGTTATACCGAGTCTGTCCGTTGACCTGAGAGCTCGGGAGCTCAGTGCTGAAAACCCAGAGATCACTAGAACCAGTGTCGAAGTCGAGAACGAGGTTCTGTGCCGGCGTGCCTATCTGCACAGGGGTCAAGTACTCGACATCGTTGGCCTCGGGGGAAGTCGTGGCTGAACCGGTGGTACGCTTTGACAAACGGCTCTCGGTGGCATTGGCGGCAGCGGCAGCAACATCAGCAGGTGCCGCCTTGCCAAACTTGTTGTAAGCCTTGGCGAGGGCGATGGCACCGTTCCTGTGCTGGAAACCTGGGTTGGGCACTGCGCGCACAGAGAATGTGCCCTGATCAGGGATACCGATCTTGGTAGGCACCACGGCCGCGTAGCCAGTGGCGGCGAGGATGGCAACGAAGAAGGTGCCGAATGTCTGCATCTTAGTTATATTTGGTGAAGCTCGAGGAGGATACGATCTTTCAAACTTGTGTAAGGGGCAGAGGTCAGATGGAGGGTAAGGAGATGGTGATGTGAAGCTTGAAGAGAGCTGATATCGACACTGAGGAGATGAAGAAGACGATATTTATATTTGGGAACGATTTGGCCTCCAGCACTTCCTGGTAGTCATCGTGTTCATGTTATCGTGGCCATGGCAGACAATGAGTGAGGTGCTTCAGAGATTTGACGCGATACCACAACAGCATCACGACGTTTAGCTCCAAGCCGGATCAAGGTAGGAATCCGGATCGTGTCCAACCTCACGAGACGTATACACGTCAGCAACAGAATGGTCTAGTACGGACGAGGAAGCTCGTTAGGCTCCAGAATGTAGGTTGACAACTGCTAAGCCAGATACACATGAAACGACATTTCCCAGCAGTGTTATCTGAGGGAAATCTGGATACATGACAACGGGCTGGAGATGAATTTGGGTTGTCATTCCCGTTGAAGTGCTTTCAAGTATCGCACAAGGGGTCCAATACAGGCGCGTATCGGCAAATCGGCAAACGACGAAACGGCATTGAAAGCCAGCCCTGGCTCCATGGCCCCGGTCATGCGCGCCAGAAGCGCTGTGCAGACAAGCTTTCGAGCAGGGACCTAGTTCCTCGGCACGTGTAAACGGTCCCGTTTAAGACAACGACCAGCGGGCGATCTTTTCAGACGCCGATCATCCCCAGACGGCTTGAAAGTGCCGTGCTCCCATGGGACAAGGATCGGACAGGACGCTCGTTCTGGAAGGTCCAAATGTAGTTTGTCAATGTATTCCAAGATGGGTTGAATGAGCTCATCGTGGTGCCATTGACGACCTTAGAATCTCTTGAACAAGCGAGATGGACAGCAAAGTGTGTGTCAATCTTGCCCAGCTTTGTCTGCTTGGATCTCGGAAAGGATACTGACACGCGGCGCATGAATTGTCACAGCCAAGGCTGACCCTGATGACCTTTTCATGCTAGGACAGCTACGTAAATCACTACATAGCGATTCTGACACAAGTATTCACAAACTACAAACGTCCTTAAGTCGACGACTGCTCAGTTCAGTCCCTGTAGGATCATTAAAGATATGATCCCGATCAACAGCTAATCTTGGTGTGCGGGAAAGCCTTGTGCTCTCAACAGCCGACGTTGTCGGTTATTCCCGCCGCATTGACTCGATTATCATGTAACAGCCAATGATCTTAGATATCAAGTCGACTAAGGTTGGGGGTTTCAGGGGTTCAATTTGTGGAGGCGCCGCCATGCCGCACTTGTGCTCTAGGCCGACCATGAAGAGCCGACTACCCGAAGCGCCATCGCAGCTTACGTATGGCTTCTAGCTCTACTAGGAAGGTGTCATATCACTGCCGAACACCTGATGTCGCTCAAGTGAATTCAATAGCTATTTGGCTCATCATCTCAACCAGCCGATACGGAGCTCTGGGCTGGGTTGCAGTCTGTTACTCCCTCGTATCTTAACGAGCGGCACTGTAATACCGAGCGTGCGCATGCTATCCGGATGCAGCGGCCTAAGTGGCCTAACAATTGCCTCTTGTGGCAGGTCACTACAACCTCCACCCGATAACACAATGACACGAGACCCCCCATCGGTCGAATTCACTAAGACGGGGAAGAATGAGGGGTGCTGTCTGATCTGGGATGTTGGCGATGAGATCGCCAAGCCTGTCAGAACATAAGTACGGGGATTTGATCTTCGCCTCCCGTCTTGGCATGCATCTTCATCCCTATCCCTGGACTCACGCTACCTCCCACGCCCTGTGCGATTAAATCAATCCACCATGAGGGCCACGATTCTCAGCATCTTGACCACCCTCGCCCTTCTTGGGCCAGGTGAGTCGACACCGCTAGCTGCCCTGGACAAGAGGTACACTTTCGACTCCAATGGTATCAAGTACAAGGTGTTTGAGCATGCCGCTACAGGAGCTACAACCAAGATTGTGTCCAATTCTGGCATTTGCGAGACGACACCTGGAGTGAATCAGCACTCGGGCTACTTCTCAGTCGGTGAGTATAGATCTGAGTGGCGGTCTCCGTAGCTTGCATCACTGATCGGACATCCATTTCAAAAAGGCACGAATATGAACATGTTCTTCTGGTTCTTTGAGGCCCGGAAAAACGCCAGCAAAGCCCCTCTTGCTCTATGGTTGAACGGCGGTCCCGGATGTAGTTCCATGATCGGCCTTTTCCAAGAGAATGGACCCTGCACTTTCAATGGCGGAGGCTCTGAGCCGACTTTGAACCCATACTCATGGAATACATTTGCAAACATGGTAAGGTGTGACATATATTTCGCATGCGCACATAAAGCTAACAGATTCAGCTTTATGTTGATCAGCCGATTGGTACCGGTTTCAGCTACGGCACAGATGATGCCACTTCGACACTGGCTGCTGCCCCAAGGGTCTGGAAGCTCTTGCAAGCCTTCTACGCCCAGTTCCCTGAGTATGAGGGACGTGACTTCGGTATCTTCACTGAGTCTTATGGAGGCCACTACGGCCCAGAGTTTGCCTTTTACTTTGAGCAACAGAATGCAGCCATCGACGCCGGGACAATCGCGGGCGAGAAGATCAACCTTGTTGCTCTTGGTGTCAACAACGGCTGGATCGATCCTGGTACGTTCTCATTTGGGATCTCCAGGGCGCCACAAGCTACCTTGCGCTGACGGCCTGCTAACATGAACTGCGCAGCCAACCAATACAAGGATTACATCGACTACGCCGCCAACAACACGTACAACAAGCTCATCACCCCGAAGCAATATAGCACATATGTCTCCACATACCAGAAGAAGTGCGTACCAGCGTTTGCCAAGTGCACAGGTTTGACTGGTAATGATGCCGCCTGTGGCAACGCCGATGACGTCTGCAGCGCGGCCATCGAGAGTCCCTTGGAGTCGCTCGCCAGCTTTGACGTCTACGACATCCGAGGCCCCAAGAATGACCCTTTCCCTCCTGAAACATACTTGACGTATCTGCAAACGCCGGCTGTGATGAAGGCCATCGGCGCCCAGACAACTTATGGAGAATGCCCGGATGCGCCCTATACCAAGTTCATCTCCAGTGGCGATCGTAAGTCGTGAAATGGCGCGCTCTACATGAAACAAGAGCTGACCAAACCAAACAGGGGGCCGATCATTCTTGCCAACCTTGTCGCAAGTCATTGACTCAGGTATCACCGTGTTGATCTGGGCCGGCGATGCTGGTAAGTTGACGGAGCTCCTGTATCTTCGCATGGCGAGCATGAAGCTAACAAGGTCAGATTGGATTTGCAACTGGATGGGTAACTACCGAGCACTGAACTCCATCGCCAAGAAGCCTTTCCTCTCGGCACCTCTCCTACCATACACGGTCAATGGAAAGAAGTATGGCGAATACAAGACCTCTGGGAACCTGAGTTGGCTGAGGGTGTACGAGGCCGGTCACGAAGTGCCAGCGTATCAGCCGGAAGCTGCTTTAGCTGCCTTCATATCGACTATGTCACGGAAGCCTATTTCATCTTCATAGACGTTCGTGTCCAAATACTAAGCTGTCAGTGTATTGAGATGAGATTCTGACAATAACACCATGAATGGGCAAGGCTGCATGTCATCTACCTTAGTTCTTCGCAGGGCTTCTGTTCAAATTTGGTCGCGCACGAAGCCCGGACCTTGCTAAATGCTGTGGAAGTTGAATGATGGTTGACAACTTGAGAGCGATGTACAGATGGTATCTGTTCAATCGAGTGCCAAAACTCAAGTCCCTGGCGTCCCCTGTTGTCGGTGTGCGGGGCTCAAACAGAGCGACGTTGTAATCAACACAAGATTATGTAATGGTTCTTGCTCTCTTTAGTGACCACGTAGGTTACCCCTTACGTACCTGTAGCTACTCTGTCGGTGCTGAGCCTCGGACTTCGAAGTTGATCCTCTCAATCCGCATGAGCACTGAAGCCGTGTGGCGAACGCTATGGGCTCCGTGATTTCTGCAGTATTTGATGCTTTGAAGGGGATCAGAGCAGCACTTAGCTTGCTTTCTGCCTTGTCGTCCGAGTTCAATGCAGCCTTGAATCGAGCGGGGAAGCCCCCGGGCCTCCCGAACCCGAAGCCAACACGGCCATATTGGCTGAACAACCCACCATTTCCAGAGCTAGTCGACATTCGCTCTCCAGTACTTCCTGAAACGGCAGACGTCGCCGTCATCGGGTCCGGCATAGCTGGTGCTGCTGTTGTCCGATCGCTTCTTCACGAGCGCCGACGTCGAGGTACTGTCTCGGGCAGCGAGTCTGGGTTGCCCGGCGATGACAATATCATCGTGTTCGAAGCTCGACAGCTATGTAGTGGCGCCACGGCGCGTAACGGAGGACACATCAAGCCTACCGCCTACGAGATATTCCCCCGTTTTCGCAAAACGTATGGCCCGGAACGTGCTGCTGCGCTAACCCGATTCCAGCTTCGTCACATTGATTGTCTGACGGAGCTCTGCGCTTCTGAGGGCATCGATGCCGCCGAAGCGAGGGAGGTCGAAACGGCCGACTTGTACCTCGACGAAGAGACGTTTCGGAAGGCTGTCGAAGGTCTTGCAGAAATGAAGGAATGGGTACCGGAGGTAGACGTCGAGGTATGGGAGAGCGATGAGGCGAGAAAGGTCTGTTCACTCTGAAAGCTTTCCTGACTCCGAGCTAGACTTCTGATATTTGCAGAAATTCGGAGCAAACGAGAGCGTGGTCGGCGCGCTTTCCTACCGCGCCGGGGCAATCTGGGCGTACCGCTTTGTCGTTTCCATCTGGAAGCGCCTCCTGGACGACTTCCCCGAGCAACTCTTCGTGGAGACGATGACACCGGTTGAGGCAATCAGCACCAGTTCCGATGAGTTGACTGACTTTCCCTATATTGTCCACACCCCTCGTGGGATCGTACACGTCCGCCATGTAGTTCACGCGACGAACGCTTTCGCGAGTCATCTTGTCCCAGCCTTCGCAGCAAGATTACTGGCGTTCGGGCTCACATGTCGTCTTCAGCGTCCAGGTGATCTATTTTCCAAACTGCCGGGGGGCAACGCTCCTGGGGCGTGATTCTAAGGCGGAGCTTTTGATTATGTCACCCAGCGGGCCTTCGTCAACCGACGAACCGCAGGGCGATTTGATGCTGGGGGGGCGGCCTTCAGCCCTTCCTTGAAGCAAGGGGGTCGACCAGATTTGCCTGTACGGCGACGGGGCATGCAAAGATGCTCTGACAGTCTCTCATATATCTGGAATTTTTCCGGCCGTCTTCCCGCCAAAAAGGGGCAAGGGTGCTTCGGTTGAGCATGCGTGGTCGGGGATTTTGGGCATGACAGGCGACTTTCTCCCCTTCGTCGGTCGCCTTCACAGTGGCCTGACGGGCCGTAAGGTCGCCAGCAAGAAGGACGGAGGAGTGCATGGAGAGTGGATCGCGGCGGGCTTCGCCGGCGAGGGAATGGTTTGGGCCTGGCTTTCGGGGACGGCTCTTGGCATCATGGTCGATGGATGCGAGGAGGAGGAGCTTGCTGCGGCCCCAGGCAGGCCGAAGGCAAAACTGTGGACTGGCTTCCAAAAGAGTTGATGGTGTCCAGCGCGAGGGTGCGTAGTGCGGATATTTCCAACCTTGCGAGCTAGTCTACAGATCTCACGAGGATAATGCTTGCTGCGCAAGACATGCGACTCTATCGAACTCTATCCATACTCGTGCTGCAGTAAGAAGACGGCAAGAGTTGATACTGAATCATCATGGTAAACAGTCATGTTGGTCATGTACGTGCATTGTAGATGCTTCGTCATTACCAGGGCGCAGTTATAGTTCGCGACTTCGGACTCCCTTTACATCATCCGGCATAAGGTGGAGCGACATCTGAAAACGTACTCTCTGTAGCCAGAGAGGCTCGCCCGTACCTATTAAACACTTCCGTTGAGAACCGTCTGCAGTGCCCCCTGACAGTGACACTTTGGGAAGGCATTCTGTGGTATCACGCTGATGCAAACTCGAGTGCGTCGGTCATGGAGACTGCTTGGTCTGGTATACATGACCTTCGCAAGTTCTGTCTTTCTAGAAAAATGGTGTGACGAATACCGGGCAACCTCATGTCCTAGGCCGCAACTCTGGGTCGAAGCCATAAGCTCTCGTGCCATTTCAAGCAATAATCATGATAGGTCTGTCACCAGAGGTACTCTCGCCTGAATCCTCCGCCGGCCGTGGATGTTCCTCTCATCACCCAGTTTAGTGATCTCTTTCGACTGTCTATCGCAGGTAAGAAATCGTTCGCAAAGCTTGCCAAAGGCAATCCATCCATGAACTATGCAAGCATTGGATGGGCAGGAATTGTGGGCAGGACGCGGTCATCTAGCAAGTCACGACGCTTGTCACGAAGTTGTGGACATCAGCGCGGCAACAGCTTCGGTACATCGGACAGTGGCCAGGAGTGAGGGGCCAGCGGGATGGGGATCAGGGGGAACAGGCTGTGCATGCACAGCCTGTAGTGTCTGGGAGGTGCTTTCCGCTACCTGGGCGCCTCGCACCTTAGTCATCATCAAGTGGTACACGTATCCTCACCGCAGCAGATGAGGCCCAGAGGTGTTGCGTTCCCGTTCTGGCGAGGGACAGAAAGCGAGGGAAAGCTTAAAGCAGATAGACTGAATGAAGCGCATCGGGGATTGGCAGGCCGCTTTATTGAACGTCCATTGAGCAAGTTAAACTTTGGGGCCTGGACTGGGCGATAGAGCCAGCTGCCAGCTTTTAGGTACCTCATCCTAGGTAGGTAGGTACCTAATCCTAGGCACCTTACCTAGGTAAGGTAGGCATGGCACTAAACTCTCCTTGTTACAGCCCAGCATCAGCGCCAGCTCTCGGATCATCGCGTCCCCCTCTCCCAAACTCGTGGCTCCATCAGCCAGGCGTCAGACCCCTGCCACCCCCTGTATCTGGTGTCGCTTCTCTTCCTCCACCAGCTCGGATCGTGTCGTGTCGCCCAATTCGTCCACCCGCTGCAACACCAGCACAAAAAGTTCCACGTTTCCTATTTCCCCGACGACGTACGAAAGGGAAGTCCTCTGAGGCAGTTGTTGATGTACGACCTTTGGTAGCCTCGACAAAGGACCATCTCCTTTTCTCACATTCCTTTATACGCCACGGGCTTGACCATCCTCGCGCCGCGATCCACACCCCATCGCGTTACGGCCGATCCCTACCGAGACCCCTGACACCCGTTGATCCAAATTGGCCGCCCATTTCAGTCTCCGATTCCACTACCATCGGATTTCTTGAAGCCAGCTTCCGGCGGGTCGCTCTTTGACACATCTCCTCCCTCTTCGCCCTCCTTTGCCTCAGTCGCGACGAACGCTGGCAGACCTGCCGTCGCCCTTCCATCATGAAGCTCTCCACAGTCCTCGTGCTCGCCACGAGTACCCTCGCCCTCGCCGTCAAGAAGACGAAAAAACTCAAGAATGAAGATCCAAACACCTACTTCAACTCGGTCAAGGTCCCTCCCATGCTCGAGTTGACACCCGACAACTTCGACAAGGAGATCAATGCGACCAAGCTCGTTGTCGTCAAGCATTACAGGTTCGTCGCGTCTACCCACAGCAGCAGCAAGCATCTCGCCACCGAAAGTGGTGCGCTCACCAGATCTCATTCAACAGTCCCTACTGCCCGCACTGCATCGACTATGCCCCGACCTACCAAACGCTCTACGAGTACTACTACACCTCCAAGCCCGTCACCCCCGAAGATGTCTCCTTCATGGAGTTCTACGACATTCGATTCGCCACCATCAACTGCGTTGCCTTTTTCGACCTCTGTGCCTCCCTCAAGGTTCAGTCTTACCCGAGCACCATTCTGTACAAAGACGGCCAAGCTGCCGAGATTGTCAAGGGCGTCAAGGGGCTCGACGTCCTGACCACGGCTTTTGAGCCCTTCCTCGAGGCCGCCAAGCCCGGAACCCGTCCCAAGGAGCTCAACCTGCCCAAAACCGGCGACAAGCAGACGCCCGACTTCAGCCCCGCCGCCGCCATCACCTCTGACACCAAGACCGACGCCGCTGGCGGGGCCAAGACTGATGACCTTCCCAAGGCGGCCCCTGAGGAGGGCAAGGACAAGAGCAGTGCGACGCCCGACAAGACGACTCCTGAGAAAACTGTCCCGAGCCCTAAGAAGACGATTCCCGAAGCGCCTCCCAAACCCACCGAAACATTCAACCCTGATGGCGTGTCGGTGGCCCTGACGGCTGAGAAGTACGAGACCCTCGTTACAGGGTCCAAGCAGCCATGGTTCATCAAGTTCTACGCCCCTTGGTGCCACCACTGCCAGGCCCTCGCGCCCACCTGGGCCCAGCTCGGCAAGGAGATGAAGGACAAGCTCAACATTGGCGAGGTCAACTGCGACGTCGAGGCCAAGCTCTGCAAGCAAGTCGGCGTCCGCGCCTTTCCCACGCTTCTCTTCATCAAAGGCACGGAGCGCGCCGAATACGAGGGTCTTCGTGGCCTCGGTGATCTCAAGTCGTACGGCGAGGGTGCCGCGGCTGCGGCCGTCGGTATGTATACTTCGACGCCGCC